CTGACATCTACTTTCGCTTCCGATAGAGTCTCTCTGGAGCTGAGGTGAGGGAAGCTGGTGGGCTCAGGGCAGCCCACTGGTGGGCTCAGGGCCTCTGGTGGTCTCATGTACATTCTGTTCCATTTCTGGAAAGTTCAGACAGCCATGGCCATTCCTCAGAAAACCTGGAAGCTCTTGTGCCCTGGCTGATTTGGTCTCTTACTTAATAACTGTGAGTAAGTCATCTCCTAGGGATTCCTTTTATTTTCCAGACTCCTTCTGACAAGTTTTCAACCACACAGTCCCAGGATCCAGGCCGTGGGACATTCCTAACAGGGCCCTGACTTTAGAGGCGCGTGCCCTCTAATGGAGGTGGGGAGGGGAGGCTGGCAGAAGGCTCTCCACCTGCCTGGTCCGGCCTCCTCTAAGCTTTGTTCCGAGAGGATTTCTGGGTTCCACTGACCACCTGGTCAACCTGCCTCTCTGTCCTCCCTGTCTTGTGGGGACAGGGAAGAGCTCACCAGGTCATCCAGTGTGATGGCAGAGCTGGCTTCACACCACTTTGCCAACCTATCCTCTCTGCCTGGAGGAGTGACAGTCCCTGGGACCTGAGCTCAGCGGCTCCATCTAACCTCCAAACCTCATGGCCATCAGTTCTGAAAGCCAGGTCCTCTTTCTACAGAGTCACACCAAGAATGTCCTGCTGGCCAGACTTAAGGTAGGTCCGAGCTTTGGGGCATGGTTGTTCTGTCTCCTCATGTCACTTTCCTCCCACTTCCCTCAGACTACCCTTGTTTCCTACTCGGGCACGAGACGAGGGAGACCACAGCCAGGATGAAGATCACACAAGTACTGCCACGTCAGCCCTTGCCTGTCCTCCTCCACATTTTCTCTTTTCCCGTAAGGATTTCTTTTTCCTTTCATTATTCTGCAATGCCACTGGTCCTCTCCTCTTTAATGCAGCCCCTCTCTGGGCCACACAGGTAGCCTGTGTCCTTCAGGAATGATGTCTTTGCTTCTCTTTTTCATTTTTCCTCCTTATATTTCTTTGAAGGCAGGGTCATCTTTTGTAGCCCCGAGAAGCAGTGCTGAGAAAACCCAGTAAGGTGCACCTAATAGAAATGTTTTACGATCTCTGTCAGCTGCTTATTTGCCCAGGGAGGAAAGGTCACAAACAAGTAGATTTTCTTGGCTTTTCTAAGTTCACCATAATTGACTTTCTGGAGTGAGTTTCCATTACAACTATGAATCTCTACAAACATACTCGGGCACACGGCAGAGAATATACGTACACTGTCTTCTCCTCTCCCTTTTGCACAGTGATCTGGGCAGCACCCACTTTGGGGAGGGTGGGATTTATCACGTTGTTATTCCAAATAAACTTGACTTTCTCAATTGTCCCAACATCAACATCCGCATCAAACTCATTGGAATGCGTGGAGCCTGGTTTGAGAATCCCCCTTGAAAGAGAGAAATAGAAACATTGCAATTCATAGAAATGTGTTCCATGAACATGCAAGGCCACGCCACTCCTTTCTAGTCTAGATTAGCAAAGTGATTTTTCCAAATGAATCCTCAAATAAAGGATAGAGAAATGGAGAAGCCAGCTATATATCGGCAGCCTCAAACTATTATTTAGGTATTGCTTTTTCAAACTCTAAGTTAATTTCTCCTCAAAACTTTACTATAGAAAATTATATACAGATTAATTAGGCCTTAGCCCAAACGCTTGGGACCAAAAAGGTTTTGGACTTCAGATTTTTTTCAGATGTTGAAATATTTGCACATACCTAATGATGCATATCTTGGGGATGGGATTCCAATCGAAATAGAAAGTTCGTTGTGCTTCATATAACCCAAAGGTAGTTTTATGCATTATTTTTGTATTGCAGCATTTTGATTGTGACCCATCACATGAGGTCAAGTGTGGAATTTTCCACATAGGATGTAATGTTGGCATTCAAAAAGTTTCAGATTTTGGAGCACTTTAGATTTCAGGTTTTGAGATTAAGGATACTTAACCTGTAATTTCTTTATATTTTTTTTTTTTCTGGAAGAATGATCTGTACAGTAACAAGTAAGAAACTTACATTAACTCTAAAAACATGTTCCTGTGCTAATTGAAAAAACAGGCTATCTGGAGTAAAATCGGATTTATTTTTTTAAATATGATCTGTTGAAAGATAAAGAACTAAGTGCTTGGGTTTATAATAGAAACAAGAAAAAAATACCAGCAGAAGTCAGCAAGTAACTTTGGCACATTAAATAAATAATGTAAAATCTATTGCTATCTAAGAAGACAGCGTTTACGTGGCTGGTTGAAGGCCGTGTGTACCATCACGTGGGCTGTGGCGCTGCAACAGGAAATTACCTGAAGACGTCATGCTGGTGAGTGTTTCCCTTATTCCCAAACAGAGCGACTTTGACCTGACCCGTAGCTGTTCTTCCAGACAGTGTTATGGAAACCCCGTACCTCCAGCCTGCACAGAGGATGGGAGAATTCAGTCTGTTCACACACGGAATAGTGACCAAATACCCAATTCCTGTCCTTGTCCCTTACACTGAGGAATCACAGGACAACCCAAACAAGGCCTGGGAGGACGTGTGTGTCCAGTGGTGGGCCCTCCAGATCTGCACTGCTCCATACTGGGCCATGAGACACAGGTGGCTGCTTAACTTTCAACTCAAATTAAGATTTCAAATGTAGTTCCTCAGGCTTACTGGCCACATTGCAAGTGCAAAAAGGCCATGTGAGGGCCAATGGCTACTACACTGGACGGTGCAGAGCACGGCTGTCATCTCAGGAAGTTCTGTCGGCCGGCTCTGCCCTGGAATGGCAGGACTGTGAGTTAAGGTGAGAAGAGATGGGGCAATGGCTTGTCTCCACGTTTGGGAAGGTAGCTCTGGTGTGCAGTCTGGTGAGTACCTGGAGGGCACGGTCCACTTCTCTTTGCTGCCTCCCCAGCCTGGTCCGTCTCCTGCACAGAGCAAGGGCCCAGGCAGTCTCCACTATATTTATACCTAGCATGCTGTCCCAGTGCCTGTGTGCACTCACACACCCAAGCAAACCTACACATGTGACCATACACGGACACACATGCACATACACATGCATGCAGTCATACATGCACACACAAACACACCATACACATGCACAAGTCACACATGTACACATACACACATAAACACACCACACACATACATGCTTTGCCCAACTCCTACTCATCTCTCATATCCTCCAAGATGTTGTTCCTGCCCCTCCCTCAGCTCGGGGCCAGGTCCCCTGTCCCATAATGCCATGCAGCAACCCACCAAGCCCAACACACTTGCAGTTGCTCGCTCAGTTTCTGTCCTCTCTGCCGGGTTGTACATGTCATGAGTAGGTGTCTTGCTTATCCCCATGTCCCCAGTGGCTAGCAATCTGTGGCTCATAAATAAATGTTGGCTGAGGAATGGATACACAGCTTTTGGAGGCTTAATTTGTTGTTGTTAAAATATGGGCAAATATTTCATGCATCACTGTGTCAGTGAAAGGATGGGTTAATCAGTCTTCTTCCAAAGTATATAAATAGAGATTTATATAGTGATGCAAATGTTCTGTATCTTGATTATGGGGGAGGCTACACAACTTACTTGTCAAAACTCGTAGAACTATACACTCAAATGGGTGAATATTTTGCTGTAATATAAATTTTACTTCAGTAACCCTGACCTTATAAATTATGTAAGATGTAACTTATATCACACAGCCTCTGTGTTTACAGGGCAACATCTTATGGAACTAGAATAGGGCAGGTTGTTACGAGGTGGCCTGTGTAGACCCAGACCCTACCCTTTGTCCTAGCTCAGTCAGCAGGTTGTGTAGAGGAATCACGCCTCCCTCTGATTTGCACCCACCTTGACCAGAGAGGCAGTGTCTGGGCACCAGGATGCAGAGATGGGGGGAGAGGGAGGAGGAAGCTTGGAGTTGGGTTTAAGAAGCCCAGCCTGGCAAAGAATGGGCACCAAATAAATGCTTGCTGAAAGAATAGAATAACAGAAATGCCCGCTGCAATCTCACACATGGAAGGAACAAGGAACAGCAGAGTGGTAAAAATTCAGGGCAGCTGCCACCAAGGCTTGCAGACTGTCCAAGTCCCATTAATTCTACTAGTTGCTTCCATCCATGTCATGCCATAGAAATAAGATGATTAAAAAAATGAAGACTTTTTTCTAAATCCTCAGTTGAGTCTTAAATGAGATAGTTTGGGTGGATGTGTCCTTTTCTAAAATAATTAAGATGTTCCCACAGATATTTCAGGTAAAGGCAAGCCCGTCATGTGTTGGAGAAACGGCCTTCTTTACCTGGGCAAGTAGTCAGAGTACAACTTACGGGCAAAATTGCTGGCCTCTCCAGTGTTCAAGAAGAACTTCTGCTGCTCCTCACTCGTCTTGCCAGCAAATTTATCAGCATAGTGGCCCATCTGTGGGCACCCTTGGTCTGGGCAGGGGAAGCACTTGTTCTAAGGAGGAGAGAGATGGGTTAAGATGAAGTTGCTTTTTTGTGGCTAGTACACTGGGATAGCAAACAGTCAGTATTCCCATGTCCTGAGCCTCCTCGTCTGTGACAAGAGTGTGCTGGAACAAATGATCTTTGAATTACATTCATCCAGGGCAGAGACCCCAGCCCGGAAGTACACCATATTACCAGATGGTGTACCATATTACCAAAACACTGATGTCTGGGGTCCAGGTAGGGCCCTATCAAGTGGTGTGCTGGTGAATGATTATCAGCTGACTCTCTGGGACAAAAGACCTTGGTTGTAACGTTCACCAATTTCCATGGTGTAAATGCTCTGACCATGCCAGCTCTCATGACCCAGAACAGGCAGGCTCCAGGAAGCCCTTTCTTCCATCTCTCCCCTTGTGCCAGCCTAGCACGTGGAACCCCAGACCTGCTTTTCCCTCTCAGGTGTACGAGTTCTTCTCTCACACATTCTTCTACGCTTGCTCTGCCCTTGCCAGAAACGTGCACTCTTCTTCCTTCTATACTCTATCTTTTCCAAGCCACATTTAAATGTTGCCTCTTGCAGGAAGCCTTTCTAGGTTATGTCCTGACTGCTTTTCTCTCTGATTTCCCAGAGTTTTCTTTCCTATGTAACTCATCTCATCTCGAACTTTAGTTACTGCCCGCCTAACACTGCCTTTTCCTGCTCCTCCACCCCACAAGACCATGAACTCTGAGGAGCATGCGAATCCCAGTGCAGCAGGGCTCTCGTCCCCTAGGGTGTGCCTGCTGCTCAGGGCAGCATAGCAGCTTACAGACTCGAAGGACTTGTAGGAAGCACAGGGGTACGCCGCGAACCCGTCGGGGTTGAGGATGCTGTCCAAGTAGTACTTGTAGCTTCTGAGGTGATTGCAAGCCACAAAGTCCCGGGTTCCTGGGGAAGCAAACAAGCAAGTCTCCGCAGGTGGTACGAGGCTGTGGCGGCTTCTCTGCCTCTCTCTCCAAGTGGGGTGGTTCCAAAGTGAGACCGTATTTTCAGAAATTTAAGTTCACAATCCATTTACCATATGGAAAGTGAACCACAGAGGGTGCTCTCACCGTGTCTGGCAGGCAACATTCTGATCACTTTCTAAGCATTCTCCATGCGATCCTCACCGTTCCTGAAGTATGGGGACCCTGTTAGGCCTCTTTACAGAAGGAGCTCCTGATTACTGCCTCAGAGTGATAGATTAGAGCTGGTAAGTCAGAGAGTTGGTGATCACAGGCAAGGCCACCCCTCTGACCTCTGCCTGGAGGTTCTCAAAAGCACAACCAGATGTAACATGACTTCACCAACATGCCCAAGCCGGGGCAAGGACATTTTCATGTGCACTTACGCAAATAAAAAGGAGAGCTGAGTAGCTGCAGGTGGCTTTATGTGAGCATCATTGAAGGGTCTTGCTCCTCCTTACAACCTTCCTCACGCCCCACAACTCTTGCCAAGTGCAACATCATAGCACAGCTTCTAGACCTGGCCTGGACTTGCTTGGCCATTACTGATGGAGCATTTGGGCTACCCCATTTATGCAAACCCCCATTAGGCTGTGAAAGACAAGATGCACACCTCCTCATCTTTAATATTTGTTCTGAACATACCCACACTTGCCAAGCCAATTTGATCAAATTCAGTAAAAATCTTTACTCATTAGATTTGGTCAGACCACTAAGGATTGCTTTGCTTTGTTTTCCATTTGCCAGAGAGCATATGTGCTCATCAGAGAGAGAGACAGGCACAGAGAGAGGGAGAGGGAGAAATCACCCCTCAGTGGGGTATGGTCATTGCTATAATCCCTTCTCCTCCATTTCTCCGCCCTGTTGCAATTTCAGCACGTACGTCCATGGTGTATTTTTAAAACGAACAGGGCCAGGATTCAAACTGCACATTTGTCCACGTGGGATCCAGCTGCCTTAACCACCAGGCCATGAAGCTGGCCTGAGACCAGTATAGATTTAACCTCCATAAAGCCACATGATAAGACTGGCTGAACATTTTACCTGTGCATTGGCCTTATTAGATGCAGCCAGCGCTGTATCTGAGAATGCGCTTCATCACCAGGTGTGCTTAATTGACAATAAAGACTAAACCACCTCAGCTAGCAGTCTCTACTCCGGCTTCCCTTGCCTGCGATGACTCCTCATTTCTGACTCCCACATAGGTGAACAGTGCCTCGCATTGTGCAAATGGCTTTGCCATGAACACCCCCAGGGATTTTCTCCTTCTGCCTACTGAATTGAAGCCACTTATATCAGTTTGAACCCCATCTCTGACTTTTAAGGGAGAACTTGCAGGAAAATACTTAGTTATTAAAGTGAAGATATTTCGGATATTTCCTTTCTCTCCTAGCTACTAGTTGCTTACTGGAGTTATATTTTTAAGCCAAAAAAAGAGAGTAATTCGCTGTTGCCTTTATATTCCAGGACACCCACAACAATGTTCTCAGGAAGCACCAAGCCAGTAGAGCTGGGCTGTAATAAATATGAGGCTATATTCTTCGGGAATGACGTTTAGAAGGCAGAATCAGGTGTGCATGTGTATACATATATATATATATTAAAGTTCACCCACTTATTTCCTCCTTGAGCAACAGAGAGGGACAGAGACAGAGAGAAAGAGACAGATGGGGAGACGACACTCCCAATAGGGTCTTGATGCTGTGATCCACAGCCAGCTTCAGCCAACCCCAGAGCACGGGTGTGGCCATGCCCTGCGTACTCAGAGAGGCCTCCAGACATGACCCGGGAACCTCCCCACGGGGGTCGGCCTCTCAGAGCACCGCACTTTCCTGCCGTACCACTGTCTGGCCCCCAAGGAAACTGTGGATTTTCATTCTTCGGGTTTGCTATAGACAGGTGCTGCTCACCCCAGAGAAGCAGCGTTCCCCTGCCCCTGCCATGGCTTTACCTGCCCAGATGCCATCCAGGTCTACAATCTGTGACAGGGCATTCTTCTTGCATCCCGGCATGTTCTCTCCTCCATTGGGGAAGAAGTCAAGGTGACCCATCAGCTGGTTTGTTCCAAACCCTGAAATATTTGGGACAGCAATGGGCGTTTGTCTCATGGAGGGCTCCCGTGGTTGAAACACGATCGCACACGCTCACAACTGGGGCGCTGTGGGGCTCACCCAAGAACGGGATCAAGGGAGCTGCATCCGTGTGAATCACATCCACGAAGCTGGCGTCAGAGGGATCGAGTCGGACCTCCTCTGGAGTGCCCTCAAAACTTGCCTCGACGGGATCCAGCCCTAGAAGAGATGGTCAACACTGCAGAACAATAAGGCCGACTAGAGGCCCCAGCAACACTGGTACACATAGTTGCCCGGACTGCGGACGGGGCGGCTCCGGGGTACCATACTCTAGAGTTGTGCAGGGTCGAATATGGGGACACAGAGTCTCGGCATGGCTCATTACAAGAACCTGCAGTGGCACGGACAGAGGAGGACAGAAGAGCCAAGAAAGTTCGATTTCTTCTGAGCAAGGATTTTTCTCCACATCAGGCTCTCCCATTGACTTCCCCTTCAACCTTCTCTTTCTCGTCCCAAGCTTAAAGGAAATGGGTGAAGCAGCAAGATGTCAGACAGTACAGAACACAGATCCCGGGGCTAGGCCGCCAGGCTCCACATCCCCACTTAGCTACTTTTTGAGCAAGATTCATGACGTGGGGTGGATCACTGGACCTTTTGTGCCTCTGTGTCTCCATTCTGTTACGTGCAATAATAACAGCACCTGTGTGACGTGGCTGCTGGAGAGTACATGAGTGAATGCGTAGCTCTGCACAGTGCCTGGCATAGAGTCATGGATGTATAGATACGTAAGTAAGGTAGAAATGGTTATTATTTCCTTTTGACTACATTTCCCTCTAGGTAGGTTTTCGGGATTTGTTAGTGGTTTTTTGAAGGTTTGCTCAGGACAGCTGAAAAGATGCAAACCTGAATGTAGTGTCTGCGGAAAATACAGGAGAGATTTCTTATAAAGGCAGGGAGTCGCACGAGCCAAGGGTCAACACAACCGCGTCAGAACCTTACTTCCACGCTGAGAGTTTCCTCCGGAAAATCATTTGCTTCTCAGAGCCTGTTTCTTCAGCTCTGAGAATTAAATGAGGAAAGGTAAAGCAAACTTTGTGCACTATTTGGGATAAATAGGCACTTAATTATGCTTACTATACTACCAATAGCATTATTAGTATATTATATATTTTGTCATCTTTTTGTCGTTGGTGTTGTTATAATTCAAGGGCCTGGCTTGGGTTAAAGGGATGTTCTGGCATGATGGTGACTGGCATTGTTCTACCAGCAGAGGCAGTGGGAGACATCATTTCGGGCTCTGCTCTGCCCTTATTTCAGAGGGGAAGTGAAAGGATTATGTTTACTGGTGTGCACAGTGGCTTCACTCTGCGTTTTCCTGGGTGCCCAGGGCTGCTGAGAGGCCCACAGCACCAGAAAGCTTGGATCTAAGATGGAGGGACCGGAACAGAGGTGGAAGAAGCAAAGGGGAAGAAAAACACCACCTCCCTTGCCAAGAGCAGGGGGCTCAGCCTCCTTCAGAGCAGCTCTAAGCTGGGCTGCAGTCTTGTGACCACGTTCTCAAGTTTCTGGAGATAAACCCGGGGCTCAGCCCCTGGGGCCTTACCAGTAATCCTGGCCAGGCCTGGAGTCCTGTGTCCTGCTTCTCCAGCCACATGGGCGCCCAGGCTGTGGCCAATGAGGTGCACTTTGGAAGGCGAGTAGTTGTATTCTGTCTAGAGAGGGAAAATGGTATTTTCAGAACATTTTTGTGCTCTGGTTTTTTTTTTTTTTTTTTTTTTTTTTGATGAAAGTTTATTTACTTATTGAGAGAGGGGACGAGACCTGCAATAGGGTCTCATGCGATGTCATGCCCCCGCCCCCAGCCTTTCCTACTTGGCCAGGATGGCATGCTTGTGGTGTGGACAAGCTGACCCAGAAACTGATCTTCTATGTGGCTCCCAGTGTTGCAGAGAATTGTGCTACTGCTGCACAACCATGACTGGGCCCTGGGCTCAACTCTTCCTCTTTGCCTTCTTTTTTTTCCTTTTTTTTTAGTTTGCTATAGGGCACATGTACTCACCCAAGAGAGACAGAGAAGGAGAGAGATAAAGTGACAAAGCAACCCCCAAGGGGATGGCCATGCCACGATCCCTCCCCGTCCATTCTCCTCTTGGGATTTTGGGCATGCATACACATGTGCCTGGCATGATTTTCAAGCTGCCGGGTCTGGACTTGAACCACACAATCAGCCACATGGGACCCAGCCATCTTCACCACCAAGCCACTGCCTGACTCTGTGCTCTGCTTTTTCTACATGCCAGCCTCATAGTGTTATTTTTCTACTGAAAACTTTCCATGCCCCTCACACTCAGGCTCAAGTCCAAATTCATTACAAGGGCCTCGGCCCTTTCCTGACTTGACATCTATTTTTCTAGATTCTTCTCCAGCCCAACCTTTAGTTGAACTTTCCGGCTCTCAGATACATCACATTTGCTCGCCTCTGGGCCCGGCTTGTACTTTCCCTTCCACTGTTGTCCGTCTACCCACCACTTGCCCCGCTAACATCAACACAGCCTAGCCTTCAGCTTTTGACTTATCTGTCTCCTCCTGGGGGAGCTCTTCAATCCCCTCCCTCCCCTCAGCAGTCTGTAAAACCTGTGCTCTCCCCTTGAGCACACTCTGATAGATCCACTCTGCTCTCACTGCCAGTCTTCTCTTCCAGGTGCCGTAAGGGCCTGGGACCTCCTCCGTCCTCTTTACAGCTTTGCACACTCCTGACGCTGCGCTCCAAATCTACTGAGTGACCAAACATATCAAATAGAACCGAGATATTTGTGCATGTCGTTCTCACAGACGGTCACCCAAACGCACCTCACTTACTGGTTTCTGTCACCTCTCGTATAAACTCCACAGGTTTTGATTTCTGCAGGGGTGCAGTCGTTAGAACAAATGGATCCTTTCGTACACCCTTTAACTCTAAGGCGGAAATGGTTGGTACCTTAACTGGCACTGAAACTAGTCATCGAGAATTAGTGACTTAAAGAATGAAAGATTTAAGGAATTAGCTAAAATGGAATGATTAGCTAAAATGGAATCAGTGTAGGAAGAGACACCGGAAATGATTATGCTAGAAGACATTCCCCTACAGCAAGAGGACCCACATCAACAGGCCAACTGAGCTGTATGTGCCAATGACACACCCGTCCTCTGCTCCCTTTGGCTCTCCCTCATAATGCTGTGTTTTGCCCCAAGCAGAGCCCACCTGGTGTAATGATGGGATGGCCCTGGAGCCAGATCATCTGGGCCCAAAAGACAACTCTTCACCTGCTCTGTAATTTTTCTTTCTCTTTTTTTTTTTGAAAATAGTTAACCTCTCCAGGCCTCTGTTTCCTTATCTGTAAATTGAAGAGGAAAATCTCATCTCTCACCTCCTCAGTATTAGCTATTATTTTTTTCCTTCCACGGCAAAGTTCAGAGTATTAGAAGTAAGAGCCTGAGAGAAATACCAATTTTTCGTATGTTTCCTTTCATCGATAACTCCCAGCTGCATCTTTATCTGATGGAAACCAGTGTGCAGCACAACCCCCCTCCCGTGGTCCAGACAGCAACTTCAAACCCTGACTTACCGAGAGGATACTGAGCAGCTGGGCCACCTGGGCACCCACCACCCGCACGTTGTTGGCGGCCTGGGTGTAGGTGGTTTGGGAGCCCTTCTTCCAGTCCACACAGATGCAGTTCACCTCCTCTACCTTGAACATGTTCTGGTGTGGGGAGATACAGTGTTATCACGGGACACAGGACACCCTGTCCAATCAGGGCTCAGACATGGCTACTGCTTCTCTGCTCTCCTCGCTGAGGTGCTGAGATAAAGTAGACTCTGTCAGGGAATTGATTGGCCATCCGGAGTTACCCCTCATGGTGAAAGCGGAGAGAGAGGCTTGCGGGTTAATTAAAAGCTGGCCAGAGCTCTGGTTTTCTTTAACCACATTCAGCAAGGTCCATTAGGTGGGCAAGTACAACTGTATCATTAAAAGAATTCCAATTTGGGGGGAAAAGACTTTAAGCGTAAGCTCGGGTGGCCAGTGTCTAAATGACTTTGTAGATTTGATTGTCCTCCTGGCGTTTTTGGCAACATCCCTGCCTGCTGGGCATTTTCTGAGCTTTAAAGTGGGAGGGAAGCTTCACTATTTTTGCAGTCAAGGTGGCACTAAGACTCATATTTCATGGAGGAAACACGTACTGCAGGTGTTTGAAAAATAGAACTGCACTGATTTAAAAGAGATTGAAGACTTCCGGAAGAAAAACTTCCCCTGGATGTCAAAGGAGCTGATATATCCTTGGGAGTTCTGCCAGGAACTTAGAAGTTCATGTGACCAACTTGACCTAAAAATGGTATCTTGCATTTAAAATCCAGTTTGAATCATTTTACATAGATGCTCCTTGAGTTACTACGGAGTTACTTTCTGATAAACCCACTGTAAGTTGAAAATATTGTTAAGTTAAAAATGGGCATTTTGCAGACATGATGAGATGCACAAACATAAAGCAGTATCCAAGAACCACTAGCAACGCCATGCACTGTCCATGATTGGTTGTTTCCCCTCACGGCCGTGTGGCTGACTGGGTGCCCGGCCCAAAGCCACTGCCCAGCATGGCAAGAGAGCTTTTAACCACATAGTGGTCTTGCAGGAAAGATCAAAATTCAAATAAGCATAGTTTCTACTGAATGTGCATTGCTTTCACACCATCACAAAGTAAAATATCATAAGGAGAGGACTATCTATGTATGTTACTAAGATGTGTCATCACATACACAGAGCTACTGAGAGTTTTATCCTTTTTTTTTTTTTTGAGAGATTTTTGCTATAGGGTGCATGCGCTTGCCAGAAAGACAGAGAGACAGAGAGAAAGTGAGAAATCACCCCCTAGGGGGGATGGCCATGTTGCAATCACTTCTCCTCCATTCTCCTCTCGGGATTTTGGGCACGCATGCACACGCGCCTGGCGTGAGTTTAAGCCACTGGATCCGGGACTCGAACCGTGGTCAACTACGTGGGAGTCCAGTGATATACCCATTATGCCAACTGCTGGTCCCCTGAGAGTTTTATTCTCATGGCTTTTATTTTCAGAGCAACCCTGAGGAATCGCTCACAAACCTGGAGAATTTAGGTCATAAACTGTATCAATAAGATGTTTATTAATGACAGGACAGGAGAGGTACCAAGAGTTAAAAACCAGAACTCGAGGTCAAAAGGAATGACTTTAATTTTCTGGGTTTGTCATTTTTCCTATGGACGTTATAGGCTGACATTGTTATTAATGGATGTGTGGAAGGCAGGCTGCTGGGGTAAAGTCTTAGGTAAAAAATAAATAAATAAATAAATAAATAAATAAATAGATGAGAGCAGTGTACACAAAAAAGGAAAGGCTGACGGTATGTTGCACATGCATGTGTGTTTCTGGGTACACGTGTGCATGCATAGCCGTGTGTGTGCATGTACGCATGAATGTGTACATGTGTATACTCTTGTCTTTATCACTAACATGCTATTGTATATGTAGCTGTGACTTTTTTTTAAGGGATTTTTGCTATAGAGCATGTATGCTTGTCAGGGAGAGACAGAGAGACAGAGAGACAGAAAGCCAGAAATCACCCCCCAGAGGGGATGGCCATGCTGCAATCCTTTCTCCTCCATTCTCCTCTCGGGGTTTTGGGCACGCACAAACGTGCCCTTTTTCAAGCCGCTGGGTCCAGGACTTGAATCATGGTCAGCCACGTCGGGGTCCAGCGTCTTAATCACTATGCCACCTGCTGGCCCACCTGCTGTGACATTTTCTAGCCTGCCATTTTAGTCACCCAATCTTAGTTTTCTATGTCCCATAAATGTTCATAGCAGCGCATTTCTGACTCTCAGGGATGTGGGAAAGTTTGAGCAAAAGGAGCAAAATCCCTCATTTACAGTACCCTCACTGAAAAGGAGTATGAGAACACGGAGCCTTGATTAAAGCAGAAATGAGCAGTAGGCGTATTTGTTCACCTAGCAAATGTCACTGCTTCAGGCAACAGAGGTAGTTCCCAGGCATGAAGAGGAATCGTTATTTTGGCGAAGAGAGGTATTTTAATTGCATCAAGGCACTTCCTATGTAAGGAGTTCCGGTTTTCTAGCTCACTTACTGTAAGTGTGTAAAGCGAGGAGGAGACAGCAGAGAGGAGAGGCTGCAACCCACAGCAGCCACGGGGATCCGAGTCGACCCTTACCTTGCACATGTCCAGCACCCAGCTCTCGTCTCCCTTGTCTATGAAGCCATGGATGATGAACCGGGTCTTCCTCTCTGTTTGAAAGTTTGATGCCTCAATCGTTGATGGGTCAGAGGGGAGGAGAGTCTGTGACAAATGCAGAAGGTGCTGCCTGTTTTTGCAGCCCAGCCACATAGGCCCATTCCTTCCCTTCCCCACCTCTGCCTGTTTCTATGCCTTCACCTTTCAAAGCTTAGCATAAAAGCCACCTCTTCCATGAAGCCCTCCATGACTTTCCTTTCCCTGACCCATGTTCCCTGATCAATAATCACTGCCTTCACTCGGTTTGGATTGTGGCTCACAGTCTTACCTTTTCCATGGTTCTTACCAGACCACAAGCACGCTGCCCCAGACCAGAATCACATAACCAGCATGTGGTTCTGGCGGATGTGAACCGTGCTTTTATTGAAGCCAGCATTTGCCAGTGACTGACTGTCCAGCTCAGCTAGGCCTGACTCTGGAGGGCTGGTGTCTGGCATGGTGGAGGAAGTGGGTACAGAGATAAGGAACTCCTGGTTTGCAGAGAGGTACAGCCCTTCATTCAGTTACAGTGACGTTAAAATAAAAGGGGGCTCACTTGAAAGACATCTGGGTTTTCATTGGTGTAGAGCAGGAAGCGGGTGCCGATTTTCTCTGGGCTCCAGGGGAGAATTTTCAGGGGCCTGATTGTAGTCCCAGCCCAGGGCTCATCGTCAGAGAAACACCCGAGGCCATCATAGCACACTTCTTTCCCTGCAGAGAAAGGGTGAACCGGCTCAAGGGTTAGCTCCAAGGCTGGGCTCTGTGCTGTCGCTGCGGTCTAGGCCTGGTCACTGTCCTGTCTGCAGACAGTCTGACGACAATGGATGCACCTGCCTCTGTCGCAATCTCTTCCTGCTCCCAGCACTCACCTTCTGGCTCGGGACCAGTTCTACTGAATCCCACATGGATGCCAATGATACTTTCACTTAGGACCGCCATGGAAACGTAACAGTTCTGAGTCACGTCCCCAGCTGTTCTGATATGCTTATTTGACAAATGTCATAATGGCCACCAGTAAGCCAATCTATTCATCCAGACAAGTGTTTAAGGCTTTGCTTAGGAAAGTCGGGCCTCAGGCACCCTGGGGATGATGGCGGGCCAGTGGGGAATTCTCTGCAGTGGGTCCCCTTCCAACTGCTCGCCCTGCTTTCCCAGGTGGTGTCCACTCCCACTTGCCTCTCTGGAACTTGCTGTAGTCTGAAGCTACGGGAAGTCCTAGCTTGGTTAAACCTTTTTCTGTCCTGTGCTGACATCTTAGGGCTAAGCCCTTCTCAAGGGGCAGATGCGATGTTTGTTTTCTTTTTTTTTTATATAGTCCACTGATGAGTTTATTTTTAACACCCATCATGCCATGAATTCATAGGGAATAGGTTCCAGTAGTTCAGGCTCCTTCCCATTGGTTCTCACAAAGCGTGCTTCTCTGGGTGGAGCAGGCTGGTGCTTCAGTGGAACGCAGGTACCTTTCCCTTTGGCTTCCTTCTTTGTCTGGTCATTTTCCTTCATGGGTTACAGGAAGCTATCTCTGCTCTTAGAATGCTTGATATGCTCAATAGGCACATTAGTTCTCTTGGCAAGAATCTTGCCCTTCACAACATTATAGACTCCTCCAGTTTTGCATGGTAACATCTGTGGGGCATTCCTTTTTGAACAGTACCCATTCCCTTGATGTCTACAGTATCACCTTTCTTGTAGATTCACATACATGTTGCCAACGGAACCACTCCATGTTTTCTAAAAGGCCTAGAGAACATATACCGGGTGCCTCTCCTGTGTCCCTTTGTGTTCATTATTTTGGTTAATCACTGGAAGACGGCAGTTCCCGCCAAAAGGCTAGATGTGATGTTTCTTACCTTTGACTGCTCCCAGCAGGAAAAGCGTGATTGTCCAGAAGACCAGCATCTACAGTGAATTCAAACACACTTAGCCTCAGTGAGCATTACTAGAGCCACCAGCACTCTCAGGGATTCAAGGCTGTTTCTTGCCTCTCCTTGGGGATGGGGTGGGGTGACGGAATGGCAAAGGTAGCTTACCCTGTTCAAAGTTCCAGGTGCTTCCTCCCACCAAACCAAAGACCCAGGTTGTTTTATATTCCGGCCTTATCACTTGGGTGCTAGCTCAAGAAAACAGCAGGTGATGACAGCATGCTGTGTGCACGTCATCTTTAATCTGCACAAATACACAAAGCAAGGTTAATAATAGCAGTCAGATCTTTCCACAGTCTGGGAAGATAAAAGAATGCACAATGAAGGGGGACAAAGGTCACTCGTTTTTGCACCCGGGTACCTATGCATGTGCTTGGGAGCTGGTGGGCCCCACTTTTCAATTTCCTATTTCAATGCCGAGTACTTTGAAAGTCTCAATAAGGCTACAGCAACAAATCCTAAAAATGGTGGGTTTTATGTTTCAGTTAGAATAGATGGAGGTGCTCCCAAGTTGCTGAAAGTAAAGGAAGTGTCTGATTAAGAAAATCTCCTCTTGAGTCAGCTCTGTGGCCTGGTAGTTAAGGCAAGAGGATTCCATATGACCATAAGGTTCAAGGACCAGATCTGGCAGCTTGAGACACAGGCTGGGCATGTGTGCCCCAAATTCTGACAGGTTGGACAGATGGAAGAGGAAGGACTGTGGCTTCATCATGCCCTATGGGAGGTGCTTTCTCCTCCTTCTCTCTCTCTCTCTGTCTCTCTCTGTTGAACATCTGCATCCTCTAGTAAAAAACAAAACAGAAACAAAAAAACCTCCTGTCCTCTCTCTAGCAAAACCCAAGCTGTGAGCTTTGGAGACAGATTCAACAGCCCCCATAGTAGTCTCTGACCACAATCCTCCTATTAACTATCCGGGTTCTCTATTACTATGCGACAAAACAATTGAAAACCTAGTGGTTTAAAACAACAGCAATACTGTAGTATCTCACTATAATTTCAACAGCTGGGTTCAGGAAGGCCCTTGGGGCCAGTCCACATCACATCCTGTCTGTTGAGTCTCCCCAGATCCTCCTGGGTGGCACACTTGCACTCACGATTCAGACACGATCTCCCATGGACCTGCACATCTGCAGGCAGCCTGGCTGGTTCACACAAAGGAGCAGATAAGTCTTCACGTGGCAAACACCTGTGGCCCACCCCGCCTCCCAGGTAACTGCCGCAATGTCAGAGTTCCCCACACTGGGGTACAGGCTTACCTGTGCTTCTGTTAGTGAAATGGGGAGGATTTCCTAGAGTAATAAAGAAGAGCAGCTGACAGTTATTAAGGCTTCCCAGGTACAGCGCTTCAAGCACCTAATAAGCATTACCCAATTTAAGACTTACGGCAACCACATGAAGTAGGTAGCATTAGTAGCCTCCCTTACAGATGTGGAAACACAAGCACAGAGAGGTAGATCAATTGCCTACAATTTACCGCTTAATCACATGGCTAGCGAATGGTGAGATGGGATTCTTGTCCAAGCTGTACAGAGTGAAATAAGGAGTTATTTGCTACTCAATTAAGCAGAACAAGTATCAACAAGAATTGTCAAGTGTTGATCACGTAGAATAAGGAAAGTAGTCCCATAGGATAAGTTGAAATACAGGCTACATTTCCCCCTAACTCTGCCAGATCTGAGCCACCTGGCTGACCCTGCTAGGTGATGAGGTATGTAAGCTTTGGCACTCTGCTCACGCAGTCTAGAAAAGTGCTGGAACAACTGACAAAGCTGCAGTAAAGGCAAAGGCATAAATGTTTTTCTTTGACATTGCATAATGCAAGAAGAGGTTTGTGAATCTATTTAAATAGGTACATGGTTCGTTGGACATGTCTGGGGCCTGTCCGCCCCTTGGATCTCTTCTCTTCCTGTTTTCCACTTCACCCTCTGCACATGGCCACCCTGGTCGCCGCAGGACCTGGGCAGTCCTCCCCGTCTTGAGGCCTTTGCTCCTACGGTTCCTATGGCCTGAGGCTCTCTTCCCTAGACAGCTGGTCTGGCTCCCTCCTATTGTTCAGCGATGAGTTTAAATGTCATCTCTGCAGTGAGGCCTTTATTGACCATTCCTAAACCTCTTCCTTATCTGCTTCATGCCCTGCCCTAGCCCTCTGCTTCCTGCTGCTCGTTGGTTCCCTTCGGATCACGTGGCACAAGGTATGACAATCCTTGTCCCTCTGCTCTGTTCCTCACAACTGTACTTTCCCATCTACAGTGGGATACCAGGAGAGGACCGAGAGCTCGTCTCTTTTGGCTGCTGCTAGACCCCAGCAAACAAGCTAGTGTGGCAGGAGAGGCGAGGCCTTCAGGAGAAGATTCCTCATGGCTCCTATGAACTAGTCATTTCAGGGTAAAAGAAATGAAGATTTCCTACTGATAATTCAGCCTCCAGCAAACAAGCTAGCATGGTAGAGAGCTTCTATCTCTGTCTCTGTGCCTCTGTCTCTCCCTGCTTCCCTCTTCTCATTTTTTGGTAATTTTTCCTTTGAAAATTTTTTTTAAAGGTAAAGTTTTTCTCTTGCTCTCAGCTCCACCTTTTGTCTTGTTAATAATCCCCTCTGGTCCTCCCACCCAGGCAGGAGAGGTGAGGCCTTCAGAAGAAGATTCTTCATGGCTCCTGCAAACTAGTCATTTCAGAGTAAAATAGAAATGAAGATTTCCTACTGATAATTCAGCCTCCAGCAAACAAGCTAGCATGGTAGAGAGCTTCTATCTCTGTCTCTGTGCCTCTGTCTCTCCCTACTTCCCTCTTCTCATTTTTTGGTAATTTTTCCTTTTTAAAATTTTTTTTAAAGGTAAAGTTTTTCTCTTGCTCTCAGCTCCACCTTTTGTCTTGTTAATAATCCCCTCTGATCCTCCCACCCAGGCAGGAGAGGTGAGTCCTTCCTTCAGAAGAAGATTCCTCATGGCTCCTGTGAACTAGTTATTTCACGTGCCATGCAAGCACGCCATGCAGTTTTCTATTTTTTTTTAAGATAAACAATAATTAGAAATTTTTTTGCTTTTTTTACTTTTTTTTCTTTTTCTTTGTTGTTGTTTCTCTCTCTCTTTTTCATTTCTTTTTCTTGTCTCTCCACTCTTCAATATCCATTTAATGTGTTTCTAGATGGGTCTCAGGGCACTGTAGCTAAACATGCAGATACTATTAGGGTTAACATATTCCTCAATATCTACTGAATCTGCTGCACCAGCGATCACAACAGAACAGCAAAGAGATTCCAGATCACCTCTTTCTGCTTGCTTCTGAACATTCAGATTGAACTTCAAGAATTAGAAAGAAACATATCATTCATCAGATGACAAGAAATCACAGGACTACAAGAAATATGGGAAAGCAAGAAAATACCTCTCCTCCAAGGGAAAAGAATAACTCCTCTTCATCCACAAGCAGGTCAATGCAAATGATGGAAATGTCTGATAAAGAATTTAGAACATTCACAATGGCAAAGCTATCAGGAATGGAAGAGAGGAGAGACACTGAACTGTTAAAGAGAAAGGAGAAAGAAGTTGACGAGTTCCAGGAGGTGAGGAAATTCTTGCAAGATCTAAAAGAGGAATTACAAGCTTTACAAAAGAGTCAAATGGAACAGTTAGAGATGAAGTCTATAATACAGGAAGTCAAAATTTCCCTTGAAAGTATTAAAAGCAGACTAGATCATACAGAATATATTTTTTCTTTTCTGTTTCTTCATTGTTGTTTTTTTCTCTCTCTTTTGTTTTCTTTTTCCTTGTCTCTCCACTCCTCAATACCCACTTACTGTGCTTCTAGACGGATCTAAGGGCACTGTAGCTAAACATCCAAAAACTATTAGGGTTAACATATTCCTCAATATCTACTGAATCTGCTGCACAAAGTGATCACAACAGAACGACAGAGAGATTCCAGATCACCTCTTTCTGCTTGCTCCTGAATGTTCAGATTGAACTTCAAGAATTAGGAAGAAACACACCATCCATCAGATGACTAGACATCACCACAGGGCCACAAGAAATATGGGAAAGCAAGAAAATACCTCTCCTCCAAGGGAAAAGAATAACTTCTCTTCATCCATAAGCAGTTCAATGCAAATCATGGAAATGTCTGATAAAGAATTTAGAACATTCATAATGTTGAAGCTAACAGAGATAGAAGAGAAGAGAGACAATACACTGCAAAAGAGAAAGGAGAGAGAAGCTGACAAGTTCCGGGAGGTGAGGAAATTCTTGCAAGATCTAAAAGAGGAATTATGCACTTTAAAAAATAATCAAACGAAACTGTTAGAGATGAAGGCTATAATACAGGAAGTCAAAATCTCCCTTGAAAGTATTAAAAACAGACTAGATCATACAGAAAATAGAATCTCAGACATAGAAGAGAAAATTGCTGGCCTAGAAAAATCCAACATGAAGACTGGGAAAATTGCCCCAAAATTTGAGAGTAATATATGAGAAGTACTAGATATCATCAAACGTCCAAACATCTGGATACTTGGCATTCCAGAAGGTGAAGAGACTCATAAGGGCATTGATAATCTATCTCATGAAATCCTGCAAGAAAACTTTCCAAACCTAGAGAGGCACTCAAAGATCTAGTACCAAGAAATACTAAGGACCCCAAATAGAATCAACCCAAGAAGATCTTCTCCAAGACACCCTATAGCCAGGTTGATCAAAACCACAGACAAAGATAAGATACTAAGATTGGCAAGAGAAAAATATCAAGTTACCGGTCATAGCCGGTTCTGGCAGGTTCAAACCAGTTCTGGATGGTTCAAACCATTTCTGGCTGGTTCAAGCAGGTTCTGACCAATCGTAGCCGGTTCTGGCTGGATTAAACCTGTTCTGGCAGGTTCAAACCAGTTTTGGATGGTTTGAACCGGTTCTGGCTGGTTCGATCCAGTTCTAGCTGTTTCAAACCAGTCCTAGCTGGTTCAAACCAGTTCTGGCTGGTTCAAACCAGTCATAGCCGGTTTAGGCTGGTTCAAACCGGTCCTAACCAACTAAAACCAGTTCTGGCTGGTTAAAACTGGTCCTAGCTGGTACAAACTGGTTCTGGCTGGTTCAAACCGGTCCTGGCCGGTTTCAACTGGTTCTGGACAGTTCAAACCGATTCTGGCTGGTTCAAACCAGTTCTGGCTGGTTCAAAC